CATTCTGGCGTTGTTTCTAGTCTAATCTTTATTGCTCTGCTTACAGAAACTGCCTCTCCAGTTAACCCTTATTACATTGTAACAGCCCATCAATGTGAGTGACGTTGAGTTGGCCATGCCCACCCAGTCACATGACCACCGAGTCCCGCCTACCTAGTTGGTCATTAGGACAGAGAACCGGTTGTTAAATTATTTGAATCCCACCACTGTGTATAGAGATATGAGCACTTAGATGTGTGTCATAAGCCACAAGTCCACAAAACAGCAGACTTCAGGAAAATAAATATCTACTTGAATTAACAACTACTAGTTAAATTAAATTGCCTGTAAAATATAACATCCCATTTATCAAATTAACTCATTTTACAACTGCAATTAGTAGTCATTCTCTTGCATACACAAACCATTTTCATACATAAAAGCACACAACTACACAGATATATACACACCCACACTCTCCAGGAACCCTTATCTTCCAATTGGGTCAATACAGCATCCTAGGTTTGTCAGGATTAGACCAGCAGGAGAACAAAGTTTTAATCCAATGATTCTCAACCTTGGCAACTTTAAGATATGTGGAGTTCAGCTCACAGAATTCCCCAGCCAGCATGCTAATTAAGAAGCTCAGAAATTAGAGGACATGGAATGATGCAACAGAAAAGTCTTTGTCCCCAGTTTGAAAAACTGGACTGGACTGAGCAAAACTTAAGACACAGCATGCTTCACACTTTATAATGATAAATATCTCATATCGTTAATCATAATAAACTTGAAGAGTTTAAGCCACAATTTCAGTTCTTTGGCATCTTGCTCTCAAAAGATACTTTTATTTTCCAAGTTAAAATCATTTACTTACCAAACCTTCCCATCATCATTCTGGAAACAAGAAGTTTCAAAAAAAATATATTAATGGCTTCCTAAATGTTCATAGTTCTTAAGGAATCATGCAAAAGGGATGTTTTTCATCATTTGATGTTTCTAGCCTGATGAGAGCTTTTCAGGCCACGGAAGAATTGCTATCCACATTGCTGAGGGCGTGTTTCTCTGATTTGTTCCAGAAAATTCCAGAACAAATTTTAGCTTCCTCCCTCCCCCTCTTCTGAACCTCTCTCGCCACAGCTCTTTCTGGAACTCCTCAGGGTCACTTGAGTGATGAATAGTGTGGGAGTAGGAATGGATTTCCAAAGAAAAATTGCACACCACTCAGGTGACTCTGAGGACACAGATAAAGCACAAGTGGCTTCCTACCGGTTCGGCCGAGTAGGTAGTAACTCGGCTGGAGGCATTCCCGAACCCGTTCTATGCTCAGTGCCGCCATCTTGATTTTCTGTTCTGCACATGCGCAGAACAATCTTCATTGGAAACATGTAATTTTGTTTCCCCTTCTAATGTGCGCAAGTGCAGACCTTTCAGGTGCTAATGAGCACGCCCGCGGAGTACGCGTCTGGTGTGCGTGCAAGCGAAGCCGACGCGTGCACACACAAAAATTTGCACGCCGAACTGGTAGTAATGCCAGCAGGAATCCACCCCTAAGATAAACCTCCAAGTGCTTCTATGACTCTCTAAAAGGATGCAGATGACCAAGCTGTCTGCAAGGAATATAAATCCTTCCATTCCCCACTATCCTGTCAGAGCTGAAGAAGCTTCCTGGGTGAGAAGAGAAACGTCTTCAGAAAAATAATAAGAAAGTCCAGTTACCACCTGAAAAAGCACTTTTGGGACTTTCTTATCTGATTCCAGAGAATAATTCTAGGTGCCAATCAAAATGAAGTAACATGGGAAGCTGAACTTTGTGCACACAGCAATAAAAACACAGCGCTTACTCAGTTGTAGTAGTGATCTCCTCGGTCACATGGGCCGTCTGGAGTAACCCTTCTCGCTTCTGGAAGAAAATCAAAGTCAGGGCTAGTGAAAGGCTTAAAGAAGTAAACTGAAAAAGTGTATTTGTATTTGTATTTATTTGTCTTGTATGCCGCCCACTCCCGAAGGACTCCGGGCGGCTCACAATAGACAAGGGAAGGGGAAAACCGGACAAAGAAAATACTTTAAAACAAAAACCGCAACAATCACAATTTCCGTGGGGCTGGATGTTTCACAAGCCCCCCGGCCTGCTGGAGCAGCCAGGACTTAGTGATTTGCACAGTGCACAGTGCACAGGAATGACATCTTACAAGAAAGCGATTGTGTTCTTTTTGCTAACTAGAGGAGCAGAATTAGAGAAGAGGCAGTTCTCCTCAGGGGTGGCTTGCTACGGGCATTATTGCCGGTTCTGCGCAGGCAAAAAATGGCACACTTACACCTAAAAAGGTCTGTGCATGCGCAGAATGTTAGAAAGCTGGCCGAAAATGACATTTCGGCAATGGAGATTGTTCTGCGCATGCGCAGAAACCCAAAAACAAGATGGCGCCGCCAATAATAGAACCGGTTCGGGTGCCTGGGCAGCCGAGTTACTACCTACTTGGTCTGAACCAGTAGGAACCCACCTCTGGTTCTCCTTTATCACAAACCAAAATAATTTACAGGGGTGTTAAACATCTCACCCACACCTGGACAAACTTTAAATGAGAAACAAACTTTCAAAGCAGAAAGAGGCCTTCTGGGATCAAAAATGGGCTGCGGGGGGTGGAGAGGGGGGAAATCTCCCCGCGCACATGCATATGTTACCCCCACCCCCACTTCTATTGGAAGTGACGGTTTATTACTTTCTTTTCGTATAGTACCACACAGTTTAATTACACATGCATGAAGAGCTTAAAATCTTTCTTGGGTACCTACCTTTACAACAACCACTTGCACAGAAACATGTTCAGGGAGCCGAATAGTAGCCCGGAAATGCATGGCCAAAGCCACCAGCAGGTGGAGGATGGACACCAAGTTCTTGCCATGGATCACTGAAGAAGGAAACAAGAAGTCATCATGAGAAGATTTGAACAGGCTGGACTGTATTTAGGTGGGAGGGAACCTACTTAATTCCACTCCAGGAAAAGTTTGATTATCTATATCCGTCTCTCTATCATTATCTATCTATCTACGTATCTATCTATCTATCCATCCATCCTCATCATCTTTGTTGAATGACCCCATAATCTCTTGCAGGGTGAAGTCTGGACAACTGAATAAAGCTAGCAGAGTGTTTACTGGCCGGATGCCCTTCCTGTCACCAATGTGGAGTTTTGTTCAGCAGATATATTCTCATTGTGCCCAGAGAGACATGTCTGCCTCTACCTAGGATCGAACTCATAGACTCCTGATTGTGAGGCAACAAAAAAATAGTAAAGAAATGAATTCCAATTTCCTTGTACATGTTAAAAGTGTAAATTAACCTCTTGCCTTATGGTTATGTTACTACATTTTTTTCTAAGATCTGTTTTTTCCCTAAACATCAAAAAAAAAAAAAAACCACAGAAAGTCGAGTTGCCTCTTGGGAAAAAAAAAAAAAACACCTTTGGATTAATGGGAAAGATTCACAACATCCATGAACTTTAGCAGAGCCGAGGTGGCACAGTGGTTAAATGCAGCACTGCAGGCTACTTCAGCTGACTGCAGTTCTGCAGTTCGGCTGTTCAAATCTCACCGGCTCAGGGTTGACACAGCCTTCCATCCTTCCGGGTAAAATGAGGACCCAGATTGTTGTTGGGGGCAATATGCCGACTCTGTAAACCGCTTAGAGAG